TAAATTTTAATTTTCACCAAAACTCTAGCAAGATTGTCCTTTGTTAATTATCTATGCTCAATTTATATACAATAGATACAAATTGATGAATTTTTCCGAAGGCCTTATGGCTCTTGTTCTTTATATTATTTTTACTTAATATTTCATTTGCCTGTTTTACCCTTATAAAAAATAATGTTCCAGTGTGCATGTGCTTAATATTTCTCAATTATTATTATACACAACAAATATTTTGAGTAAAACCGAAGTTGAAGAAGAATATTTTTTTCTTCAGGGATATTGACAATACTTGAAGATAACCGAAGAAAAAACAATATTTTCTAAACGAATTTTTTTTAAAAAGGTCATATTGGTAAATTCATCTCCGATAAAGTCACGTTGAAAAAAGAAACAATGAGAAAAAAGGAAAAAAAAAAAAAAACCAAAATTACGCCTTTGCCTCGACTATTTAAGACCAAACCATTCTTTTCCATCAAAAAAAGCTAGGGTTTTTTAAGGTTCGCCATTCGACGCACAACGGTAGATTCTCATATTATACTCTCAAATTCCCATGTTCTAAGTCAATTTTGTATTTTTGCTGAGTATTGGCTATATATTTTGGTAGTATATGTATCTGTCTTTGTGTTTTCGTGTTAGGTAAATTTGGGAGCTGTGGTATTGATGATGAGGCCGATTTTCTGTGGGAACTTCGAGTACGAGACTCGACAGTCGGATTTGGAGCGGTTGTTCTCCAAATATGGAAGAGTTGATCGCGTTGACATGAAATCTGGTAAATAAATTGCTTTATCTTGATAGTTTACTGTCATTTCTTGATTATTGTATGTAAAGCTTTGGAATAGCATTTGAAATTTGGCAAGTATGTGCTTGTATGTTTGACTAAAAGTTGGAATTAATAGAAAGAAAATTGTGAAGATGGCATTGCAGATGAAGTTTACTTTTGAAACTTGTGTTTTTTATTTTGCTATATTTCCTTATATAGTATTTCTAAGGCAACCAACTTTTATGTGATTGTGATGGAAGTATGTGTGGGTTGGCTAACTTGAAAATTTCTGCTGTGATTGGGATGGGGATATTTCTTGAATTGGTCTTGGTAAGTGTATTTTGTATGAGGCTCTCTATCCCTGTATCCCTTTTGTTTACTTGGTTAGCAAATGCAATCACAATTTTCTTATGTCTAGATGTTTATTTGCTCGGATTTATTGTATTATGATCTTTCCCTCTTTTTTCTTTTTTATCTGCCCTCCTGTGTTGTTGAGCTTGGTAATGTATTTGGTTCCCGAATTCTACCCCTCCTTTTTGTTACTTAATACGTCACCTAATTGGTTGGGTACTTAAATTTTAGTACTAGCAATTTTGGGATGTCTACTGATTGTTAATTATCTATATGGTATTAAATTAGTGCTTAAAATGCCTATAGTTTTTTTATTTTGGTATTGTTTAATCTTAACTTCTTGAAGGGCAAAGAAATATCCATTACATTTACTGATTCTTGTCGGCATCCTTTTATTCTAGCTTGGTGGGGTATTAAATTTTTGTACTAGCAGTTTTGGGATGTCTAC